TAGCCTACATACAAACCATGGGTCACAGGAGGGGTGGGATGTTGATCAGTACTGGCTTGGGATGAGCGTCATCACGTGTCTCAACCAATGAGAGCATTTGGGGTAGGCCTAAGACTGCAGGAGCGCTCACATGAACTCACCCGATAAAATTATTTAGGCTAAGCATCAACATTCACAAACCACTGTTCGATGTGTAATACTGAAAATAAATGACTGATGATGCTCCAGGAAATCCCTAATATGGGCAAAGGCATACTGCTACTGCTGTGACTGAATAAAAATAAGATAAATGCTTGAACTGATCAAACATGAAGATGGAAAACACACGATGCAACAATATCAAGCATAGTGTTAGTTCTGGCAGGCCACGTTAGTCAAGCGTGCATCTGCTGACTCTCCGCTGATCCACGTCTACCTATAGGAATACGACGCCTATCTCAGCATTCATATATAAGGTCCTTCAGTATTATCAGCAACTTTCGCGTTGCTCAATAGCTAATGAATGGAGAATTCGGCAGGCAAACACCATCATCTCTCTAGGATTTGTGCAATCGGGAATTTAGCGAGAGGAATTTTCTCCCCTTATGGACTTCACCTCCAATTCAGTGTTCGAATTGCTCGGGGGGGGGGGTCCCGGACCATAAGCATTAAGCATTAAGGGACCCCCCCCTTAAAATGAAGTTTCAATTGCTGTATTAAATTTAGACCTGCTTATGTTACATCATATTTTAATTTTACGTGTTTCTACAGCGTTGCTCATTATAACCAATCACACACGATTCTGTTGAGCTTAGGAATGCAGTGGCCAATCAGAGGCGTTCAGATCAGTCATTACTGAAACCCCAGAGTTTTGTTCAGACTGAAACTCGCTTTCTGCCACTGCTGTGAACTGACCACCAAACAGAGTCAGCTGTCCATGGCAGTCCTGCAGCGCAACACACTCAGCAAAATATCATCTGAAAATCCCAGAAAATACAGAGATATAATTTTTTGTGTCAACATCGCACACCCCTAGGCTAGATATTTAATTCTTCTTTGCTTAGTGATTGTTTGGTACACCTAATTCACTGATCATCGTAAAATAATCTTTTATCTTAGAATTAGGTTTTCTCAATGATAACGAGGACAAGACAAAAAAATTTGCATCATAAGTATATAGAGTTTTATTTTATTTATTTATTTATTATTGTAAAGGGGGTGGGGGGCTGGTTAGAGAGACCCCCAAGAGCTTTGACACAATTCGAACATTGCTCAAATTCATTCAAGATAGTTAACTTGTTGTGCATTCACAACGGGGTTAAGTTAATTTTATTTTCGATATTCCTCACACATTCAGAATATATTTTCTGCCTCGTTCTGTGACAAAAACCGCACATCAGATCACAAAATGTAGTTATTTCAAACACTCGTCTGATGTTTGTTCTGTAAAGGGTACATTGAGAGTGAGACTAATGTTGTTGTAGGGACCTAGGATGGTGTGACATGGTTATCATGACATCAGTTCCTGAGTAAATAAGTGACAGTGAGCATTACATGTGTCCGGCTCGTTATTATAGCATAGTGTACTCAACATCAGAATCAGAATGAGCTTCATTGCCAGGTATGTTTACACATATGAGGAATTTGTTGTAGTGACAGAAGCTCCACAGTGCAACAGAATGACAGTGACAAGACAAGACAGATAATAAAATAGTAATATACAAAATAGACAATGTACAAAATAGCAAAAACACAATATACAAAATAGACAATTTTGTATGTACGGGTATGTTATGTGCAAATTTGAAATGTAAATAAGTATGCGTGTTAAATACATGTATGATAGTGTTGTGTGTTCCACGTTTATTGTTAAGTGTTCATGAGATGGATGGCCTGAGGGAAGAAACTGTTGCTGTGCCTGGCTGTTCTGGTGCTCAGAGCTCTGTAGCGTCGACCAGATGGCAACAGTTCAAAGAGGGAGTGTGCTGGATGTGAGGGGTCCAGAGTGATTCTGCCAGCCCTTTTGCTCACTCTGGATGAGTACAGTTCTGTGTACCAGTGATTCGTCAGCAGTCCGGACTATCCTCTGTAGTCTTCTGAGGTCAGATTTGGTAGCTGAGCTGAACCAGACAGTTATAGAAGTGCAGAGGACGGATTCAATGATGGCGGAGTAGAACTGTTTCAGCAGCTCCTGTGGCAGGTTGAACTCCTCAGCTGGCGAAGGAAATACAGCCTCTGCTGGGCCTTTTTAACAATGGAATCTATGTGAGTGTCCCACTTCAGGTCCTGAGAGATAGTGGTGCCCAGGAACCTGAATGTCTCCACTGTTGTTACAGTTCTGTCAGAATGGTTACATGGTTACATGGTGTCAGAAGTGATGGAGTAGTAGGGTAACAATGAACTAAACCTGAAGAGCACTCA